CAGTCAGCCCTGACAGAGCGAGGATGATCGACCCCCCATCGGGGACCCTTGCAGCCCTGCCTCTTCGGTCCTCTTCGGCCCATCCTCGACCACTCTCGATTCACCGAGCGCGTTCCACTACTCGCAAAGTGCCTAGTCGCAAACGCTCGAAAAACACATGCCTGCTTCGATGTGATTTATCGTAGATCCCCTCGGCGGATCAAGGCCATTCGCGAGTAGGTACTTTGCGAGTAGTGGAACACGCTCGTCCATCGATGGCCAGCCCCGCTCGAAGAACCCCGGCATGGGCGCCCGAGGCCCTTGCAGCCTCACCGCGCACCCCTCCTGCACGGGCTCACAGCAGGGCCTGGCTGTGGCCACTCACCTCCGGCGGTAGGGCGCCCACCGCCCGTCCTCCCACCCGCAGGCCTCAACCAAAAGTTTGAATCTAGACTATGAAGCATAAAGCAACAAGACATAGCAATCAAACAAATCGATTGAAAACAAACAGATGACATCGAAACAGATAACGATCTCACAAGTAGAGTCAACACAACTCCCACCCGCAGGCCTCCCCGCGCTGCGGGACGAGCCCCGAGGCCACGGCTCTGCAGAGTGCTCGCAGCGGGAGCGTCCGCCCTGTTTCGGGCCCCCGGGGCCACATCGGACGGCGCCAGGACGAGAAGAAAGCCGTTCCAGAGCGTTCCGGCCACCTTGAGCAGCACGGCGTGACCTTTCAGCAGCTCGGTAGCAGGAGGCCAGGCGGAACAGGCCTTGCCCAGCACAGCACGCTGCGGATAGCCGCCCGCCTTGTGCGCTTGCTCGGACGGGGCCAGGACGAGGATACATCCGTTCCAGAGCGTTCCGGAACGCTCTGAGAGCGTTCCGGGACGCTCCGAGAAGGGGACGCTCTGAGAAGGCCGCGGCGCCCGAGACACCCCCCAGAACCGCCAGGTCATAGAGATTCTCTATTTGCCCTCACCCGATTGTAACCTCGTCCAGGCTTCGGATCGAGCTGGCTCTGGAACTGACGCAGGAAGATGGGGTCTGGGGCGCCAGTAGTGATTGTGAAGGCCTTGCGGCCGGTGCCGCCGACCCTGGAAGAAAACCCCCATGATGAAGGTGACAGCCGTAGTTGTTCGGGAAGCTTGGGACCAGACGCCCTGCAGAATTCCCCTGAAGCCCCACGAGGGTCCCGAGAAGCATGTGCCGAGGAGTACAGCTCGGCCAAGCTATTTGCTCGTGCGCTTTCGCAGAACAGGGTCGCAGAAAAGACGAGGCCTGGGCAGGGCTCGTTTCGATTCCTCCGATTCGATTCGATTCGATTTCGATGGTTTCCGATTCCGATTCGATTCGATCTGGGATTCCGATTTGAGTTCCGCTTTCTTATTGGAGGCATACTAGCCTGCCGATTTCCGCCGATCCGACTTTTCCCGACTCGGCTGCCGATTTCCGACGATCCGGTTCATGTCGATCGCCGATCCGACTTGTCGATCCGATCCTGGGCTATCCTGCCTGGGGCGCCAGCAGTGGCATGCCGCGGCGGTGCGCAACGCGGGATCTCCCTGGGCAAGGCAGGAAGAGACACCGGTGCCGATGCCGCTGCCCTTCCCTGGTCGCCACGGCGGGGCTCGCCTCCGACGCACGGTCAGAGCGTGCCCCGGGAGTGGCAGCATCGGTACCTTTTGCCCTCCTCCTCCTCCTCCTCCTCCTCCTCCTCCTCCTCCTCCTCCCTCTCCTCAACCTCCTCCTCCCTCTCCTCCACCTCCTCCCTCCTCCTCCTCCTCCTCCTCCTCCTCCTCCTCCTCCTCCTCCACCTCCTCCTCCTCCTACGCCCTGGCCACTTGCGGCTTCTGGGGGCCCTTGCCAGGCCCCGGGGCACAAAACGACTCGGGATGAAAGACGTGGCCCCGGGAAGGCGTGCAGAGACCCCTGCAGCTCCAGGCTGCGAGAGATTCACGATGCTGGACGGCGGGGCAGCTCGCGCGTTTCGGGCCTCGCCGTCCTCGTCCTCGCGGGCCGGCTGTTGCCAGAGGTGCTCCTGGCCCAGGTTGTTTCCGACGTGTCCCAAGACGCCCCCGTGTGGCCATCAGGGCACGCCTCAGGAGGCCAAGAGGGCCCGAGGGGCTTCAGAATGCTGGGAAAATCTGGTGGCACCTTGGGCGAGGAGGTGCGTGCCTGTGCCGATCGGGCAGTTTTTCGCGTTCGCCTGAACGCATACAGCGCCGACGCGTCTCACGGCGTATGGCAGACGTGTCCTTCCCTTGGGCGAGGAGCACCGCGGGATGCCCCCGACGCGAGGGGCCCCCTCGGATCCGGGCCTTCGACGGCCGCTTCCTGGCACTGGGGCCGTCCACAAACGGCTCAGGATGAGAAGCCGGCCCTTGAGGAAGGGGTCGAGATGCCCAGGTGCCCACGTCACGAGGGTTGCCATGGCTGGCTATTATATTAATCGCTTCGCTCATTCCGCCGGCCCATATTGTCGCACTGTTGTGGGCTAGCCGAGTTTGGGGGCCTCTTGGGGGCCGTTTTGGGGCCTCTTGGGGCCTCTTTTGGGCCTCTTGGGCGCCTCTTGGGGCGTCTTGGGGGCCTCTTGGGGGCCTCTTGGGGCCTTTTTGGGTCCTCCTGGGCGCCTTCTGGGGCGGAGGGCTCGATTTTTCAGTTCTCGGTTCCCCTCTTGAGCCCCTCTTGGGCCCGTCTTGGG